TTAGCATAATAGTTTCATATTGAAGCATGTATCAGAAATTAATTCCTTTTTTATGGATGAGTAATATTCCATTGTATACCCACATTTTGTTTATCCATTTACTTATAGTATATGGTCATGTAGGTTGTTTCCTTTTTGGCTATTATAAATATTGCTGCAATTAACATTGGCATACAAATATCTGTTCCAGTCCTCATTTTCAATTGTTTTGGGTATATACCTAGGAGTGAACTTGTCATATAGTAATGCTGTGTTTAGCTTTTGAGGAATTGTCAAACTACCATAGCAGCTGCATCATTTTTACATTCCCACCACCAATGTACCAGTAAGAGGGTTTTAACTCCACATCTTTGCTAATACTTATTTTCACTCATTCATTCATTTATATCCTAAAAGGTGTGAAGTGGTATCTTACTGGTTTTCATTTGCATTTCCCTAGTGACTAATTTCTCATGTGCTTTACAATCACCTCTTCTATTTTGGGAAGAGTTTGAGAAGGACTGATGTTAATTAGTCTTTAATTGTTTGGTTGAATTCACCAGTAAAGTCTGGTCCTGAACTTTTGTTTGGAGGTTTTGATTACTGATTCAATCTCTTTACTTGTATGTTAGACGTATTGCTACTGTAGTCTTAAAGTAATCTAGAAAAAGAAAGTCTTATTAAGAAAATCACAGGGAAGAGAAAATAAATTTATAGTATTTATTGAAAAAAATCTGTGTATAAGTGGACCTATGAAGTTCAAACCCATGTTATTCAAGGGGCAGCAATAATTAGATTATGCTTTTAAAAATCCATTCTGTCAATATCTGCCTTTTCACTTACTTGGAGAGTTTAATCCATTTACATTTAAAATAATTACTGATAAGAAAAGACTTCTGCCATTTTGTGATTAGTTTTCTGTATGTTTTATACTTTCTTTGTCCATTATTCCTCCATTATTGCCATCTTTTGAGTTTAGTTTTTTTTTTTTTTTTTTGTAGTGAACCATCTTGATTCCATTCTCATTTCCTTCTGCATGCATTCTATAGATTGCCGGGGCTGACCAAGCAGACCCTGAGCGACGGATGAATGATTACTCTGACACATGTTTCTGTGAGAGAGGGCTAAGGGACTGCTTGGCTTGAGAAACCAAACAACCCCATTTGCCTGCCTCCTTAGGCTTTTATTGTAATAACAGCTTGAACTAAAATTAACTTCTAGATACTATCAGCAGGGTAAGTATCCTTGAGAAGACATATGCATCTGCAGTGTCCCTTAAGCAAGGACGACTAAAGACTAAACATAAAGATTCCAGTAAAACACCCAGGGGCTCAGACTTGTTTGGAAAAGTCAAGGCGGGGGTGGCCGCCTTCAGCCAGCTCACCCTGGAGGCCCCCGACCTTTCGGAGAATCCACCTTACAAACTTTCCAACCAAGTCCCATGCTTCCCCACAATAGATATTTTCTTTTTGATTACCATGGGGGTTACATTTAACATCCTGCAATTATAACAATTTATTTTAAAACTCTGCTCTTATACAACTTCATTCTCTTCTCCTTTATGTTGTTGCTGTTACAAATAACATCTTTATATATTGTGTGAAATTGTCCTCAATTAGAGAGCTGGATGGTTGAGTGATTGTACAGCTTACCTCATGAATTTCCCTTCTCTCAGGGATCATAGTCTTATACTGCCCACTGTCCTTGCCTGAAAAGTTGTCACATAAAAATGTACACATATATGTATACATGTATATATGTAGATGTGTATTTTAGTTGTTTATGATGGGAGAGCCAGACTGGTGCCAGCTACTCCATCATAGTTAGAGGCAGAAGTTTCCCTCTTTCTATCTTGATGAAGTGGATTATGTGTTGGCAAAGATGTTGGAACAGATGCCAGGCGGAGCCAGCCACACTCTCTGAGCCCTACCTTTAGCAATAGAGAAATCACTTGTTAGGCTCTGCAAGTGCATAGATGTGATGCCTTGCACCCCACTGTTCTTAGTGTACTCCAAACGAAGGGACTTTTACTACATGAGCACTGATTCTCTTGGATCATGGAAGTCATTCACCTTATTGTTGCTGACAAATAGAGAATTTGTCATTAAAAACCCAGACTTGCTTGTATTAGCCTGCTCTCTTGCATCAAGGAAGTTAAAATGGTTGTCATGTTACCTGGTTGATAGTGGATGGGAAATAACACTTTCAAAGGTCTATTTGGATTCCTTGCTGCTGTAAGTCACTAGTGCATGGACCAGACTCCTGGCCTTGGGCCTGCTGGCAGAAAGCCACATAGTAAGCCATGTTCCAGCAGAGGAGACACACAAGAGATGTCTTTGTCTTTCACCCCATTAGGAAGGAGGCACGGCCAAGCCAAACACCCAAACAGAGAAGTTACTCCGAGATATGCTGCGCCTGTAAAGGAATATGAAGCTTGGCCTCTCACCCGTTCCAGGAGCCCACAGGCAACTCATTCATTCAGCAGACATTTAATGATCACCGGTACTGAGGGAGCCCTGTTGGGTTCTGGGGATGCAGGGTGAGGGGAAGATTCATTAAAGACATGATGTTTGAGTTGGCTCCTAGGGTTGGATCTTGGTTCCAAAGAAAACTGAGGAAAAAACTTTCGCTGAGCTCATTTTTCCATGTTTTTATTAGACTATAAGAACCTATAAACTGAACGTATTTTCTGGAAAAGGACCCAGAGGTTTCCTTTTGGAGGCTGGGGCACTGCTTCCAGGGGAGCTGCTGGCCCTGTGTCTCCCACGCCCACACATACCTAGTTGTGTCTCCACAGCGGAGACGTGAGTGGTGCTGGCCTCGAGGCTGAGCTCCTGGTTTCCTTCCTCCTCCTTCTCCGGGAGGTGGATGTCTGAGCGGGAGGCCGCCTGCCCCACACGGCAGGACTCCAGGCCAGGGTTCCCGGACTGGACCTCTCCTTGTCCTGGCACCTCAGTCTGGGAGGCAGAAAAGGGGAATTTCTGCTTGGGGTGCAGTGGACTCTCTACAGCAGGGAGACTGATGGCTGGGCGAACATTTGAGGCTGTGTGTTCTTCCGATAAGTGAGTCTACCTCCCTCAAATAAAGTCTCGGGGTTTTCTCTGAAAACCCAGTTTCTGTTGAAGGGTCTCTGCAGGGCCTAATAATGGTCCTAAGACTTCAGAGCCTTCTAGGTTTCCAAAGATGGTGTCTGGTTTCCTTTCTGTAGTTGTACACATTCACCTCTGACTTCTTTTCTCAGTCATGTTCTTGTGAGCCCCCCAGTTTAGGGGCCTAGAATAAGCGAAGGCAGGCAGGCTGTTCCCTGCTGGATATAGTTTGGGGCCCTCTTTGTCACATTGGATAAAGCCTCCAGTTTGGGGTCAGGTTCGGCCTCAGGCCATTTGTGTGAAACACATTCCTTGTCCTGCTTTCACCAACCTCTCTGACCTGCCCATCAGGCCGCACAGCCCTTCCTTCCTTTTATCCATGGTCACTGGCTTGGTGGGGATGTTCACATGACCGTGTCCTTCCATGGACATGCTTAGATTTTTGAGGAAACAGATTTTTACTTAAGGGAGGAAAAGTCTATGATAGTATGATCAGAATTTACTTACTGATTAAAAACACACACACACAAAACAGCTCTAGCTGGGTTGGCTCAGTAGATAGAGCACCGGCCTGTAGACTGAAGGGTCTTGGGTTCGATTCTGGCCAAGGGCACTTGTCTGGGTTGTGGATTTGATCCCCAGTGGGGGGCATGCAGGAGGTAGCCGATCAATGATACTCTCTCATCATTGATGTTTCTATCTCTCCCTCTCCCTTCCTCTCTGAAATCAATAAAAATATATTAAAAGAAAGAAAGAAAGAAAAGAAAACAGTTAGGTCTGGAAAAGATACCCTGGAAGAGGTTCTCTAAGTGGAAATATGTGGACCACGTAGGATACTGTGTTCTGGGGCTGGAATGGGATTGCCGAGTCAGGAGGCTGAGCCAGCGGGAGCAGAGGGGAGCCTAGTCACCTCTATTAGTGGTTGTCAGAAATCAGAGTTGATGTTCCCAGGTGGTGGTTACAATGCTCTGGAGAGCAGGTGTGAATGCTGGTCAGGAAAGGGGAAACTTTTCTATGAACTGCGCTATTGTACAAAACAAGTAAACTGTGTGTTGGTGCTCACCAAGGCCCACCAGGGAGGAGTGGGACCAAGGCTGAGAAATGGAGCTTTGGACTCTCCAGGATGTACCGGAAGGACCAGGAGCAGGGGCAGGGAGAGAAGGAGGACTTCATAGTTACTTCTGAATCAAGCAAAACAAACAAGCAAAGGCCCCCAGATAGATAAAGAGGGAAAATACATGGAGATGGGAGCCAGCATTGGCCAAATGTATCCAAAGCCCCCGACAGCCCAGACTTGGAAGGAGGGTTTCGTGATGCGTGAACTGCTCTAAGCCCCACTGAGTTTGATTCCTTCCTGTTTGTTCTCCTGGCACAGTGAGAGGAAGCTTTTCTATAATTGGCTCTTGAGACATTATTACAATCACTCTGTGGCCCCCTTGCAGCTTATTTTTAATTATAAGGCCTATTGCATTGTTAAATTATTAACTCTGACAATTACTTATCTTGGCATTTTCCTATCTTGATGAAAATGAAAAGAGCGAGGCCATGTGAGCTGATTGAGGTTTTGGTCTGCGCGGCTTGGTTAAGCTGGGTCAGCCCCGCATCTGTGTGCGTGCGGGGAAGGGCAGGTTTGCGGACGGTGCCAGTGGAGCCCAGGCTGAGAGAACCTGGGACCTGCAGGGGCTTGTCCTGGGGAGCTGGGGCCAGGCCTCTGTGGAAGGGGGAGGTAGGCTGCTGTGGCTGCTTTCCCTCTGACCTTGAAGAAGGACCCTCTGCTCACGGCTCACACTTTGAGAAGTGATTTTCCTGGGAGAGAGCGAGCTCCAGGCAGAGTCAGGAAGTGGGATGTGTCCCACTACCCCCCTCCATATGTCCCAGCTCTGCTCCGGCTCATCACCCCCTGGTGCTGTCTCGGACCCCCTTCTTCCCTGACTCCTCTCAGCCCACATGTCCTCCTGTGGTACTAACTGCATGACAACGCCGACACCACCTAAACAGTCACGAAAACTAACATGTATTGAGCGCTTACTATATGCCTGGTACCTTGCCCACAGCAGGCTCTTGGCAAATGTCTACCAGTGCTGGCCACAGCTGGCCTCCCTGTCATGCTGCCTTCTGGCCAGCAGGGGGTAGTGTGACTACACCATAAAGGGCACCCTCCTCCAGCCATGTTCTCAGGTAACATGAAGCTTTGGAGTTTCAGCGGATCCTGGAAGAAGGGTTCTGGCTTGGACAGTGGGTCCAAGGCCCCCACAGACAGTGAGGGCAAAAGGATGCACAACTATCACCCCTCCTCCTCACAGCCTCGGGCACTTGGGGTCCATCAGTCCCAACTTCAAAGTCACTCTATGTTCAGTCTGGGTTCCACTGACTCCATGGAGGGCAAAGGGCAGGCACGACTTGCAGAAATGGTTTTGGCTGCAGTTAACCACACTGATTCCACGCAGGAGCTTAGCACCTGGTTTCCTTTGAGATACACAGATGACCCCTAAAACAGGACTCTGAGGCTGGTGCTTTACTTTAGGCGTGAGTTTTGGTGTCTGGTCCCCAGAGGATAGGCTGAGAGATCTCCCTGATGAACTCCTGTGAGGAGCGCAGATCCTGGGTCCTCAGCACAGCCCCGTCGGAGGCACTAGTTCTGACGAACCTAAAGATCGATGGTGCCGCCCAGCCTCTCTGCTTCAGAAGTGCTTTAGGTTCAGATGTTCAAAGCAGCTCTGAGTTATCTTTGTAGCTTCTCCAAAGTCCTCCCCCATTCTCTAGGCCCCTGAGAAAAGAAATCGCTATCCTGCTGCTGACTGCTATTTCCCTGCCGTCCCAACCATACACCCACTGCAGCCAGTGGGAAGAGGTCAGCCATTGTCTGTGCATCCAAGGCAATGCCCCATCCAAGGCCTCTCCCCCGCCACAACCAGGCCTCCACCATCGCTGCACAAAGTTCCCAAGTTCAAGGAAGCTGTGCGTGTGTGTGCACGCTCACCCTGAATCCATTTTGAGTAATGTGCCTCTCAGTGCCTGAGCTGCAGCCCAGGAGGCCACGTTCCCTGATTCCTGACCTGGAAGGTCAGTTGGGGACATTTGTGTACTTTGGTTAAAAAACAAACAAGCCCTAGCTGGTTTGCTCAGTGGATAGAGCGTTGGCCTGCAGACTGAAGGGTCCCGGGTTCAATTCTGGTCAAGGGCACATGCCTGGGTTGCGGGCTCAGTCCTCAATGGGGGTATGTGTGTGCAGGAGGCAGCCGATCAGTGATTTTCTCTCATCAGTGATTTTTCTATCTCTCTCCTTCTCCCTTCCTCTCTCTGAAATCAATAAAAATAAATAAATAAAAGCAATTATTAAAAAACAACAACAAACAAACTGGCAGTTTTGAGTACTTTAACACTAGCTAGGTTCTTTATGTGGATTATCCAATTTAATTTCCACAAGGATCCCATTATGTAACTGCTGTATATAATATGTAATATTATATATATTTTACATACTGTATATAATGCCCCCATAGGTAAGGGGGAACTTGAGGTATGGAGAGGTTAAATCGAAGGTCTTTCAGGGAGGAAGTTGCTGAGCCAGAAACTTGGGGAAGGGGCACAGGAGAGGCTGGCTCAGGAGCTGGAGACAGTTTCCGATCTGCTGCCCAGCTCTGGCTCCCACCTGATTGGAGGGACCTAGGGCTTGGTAACTACAGCACGACCCACCCTGCACAGTCTTAGGAACAAGAAGGAATGGCTTTGTCCTTCAGACTTGAGCAAGCTGTTCTACCACACTTTGATCTGACAGATAGATTGAGTCCTAGGAATTCCAGGATGATGGCAAGGCAGATGTCTAGCAGGTGGGGAAACTGAGGCCAGAAAGTGTAGGGATCTGCTCAGGGTCTCACAACGAGTCCATAGTGTCTAGTATAGTTCACTAGCACCTTCTGCAAGACCACACAGCCTCTGAGCTGGAACACTGAAAATATCTGCGAGAATAGTCCAGTGATATCAGAAGCAAGGAGGTCACCTTACAAAAATATCTAACTTAAAATGTGAATTGATTTGTGCTTTTTGAATTGCTAAAGCATAATTTCTCATATGCATGAGAAATTAATTCAAACAGTACAAAAATAGTAAATGGTGAAAACCAAGCCTGCATCCCACTTCCTCTCCCCTGATACAAGCACTGTTCTGTGTATCCTTCCAGCGACAGTTCGTGCATGTAGATTCATAAATGCAAATGTGACACGTTGTTGAAAGGGGGCTCTCTACCCAAGTTTCATCTGAGGTCTCCAAAAATGCAAGTCTAGCAAGAGGAGTGTCAGGAAGATGGCTTGGATGGCTTGGATGAGGCTCTGGAGTTGGGGGGCTGGTGTCAGATATATACCTGAAGAGTGTAAACATGAGATCCAGTGGGGTGGGTGGGAAGAGGAGAGAAGAAGATTAGAGAGGAGAGGACAGGAAGAGAGAGAGAGAGAGAGAGAGAGAGAGAGAGAGAGGAGGGGGGGGGAGGAGAGGAGAGGAGAGGAGAGGAGACATTTGGAGCCAAACCAAGCTCTTGCCAAAAGCAAGGCCACTGATACATAGATTTTCTTATAGACCAGATATGGACCACAAGGGTCAGAGGACTGGCCTAAAAAGTTAGCCCAGAAGAGGAAGGCAACCCTACAGACAGACAGACCCCCAAGTTCCCAGAGACTGAAGGAGAGAGGAAATAGATAACCATCCAGAGGAAAATGCAACCAAATGCTCCAAAGTTGGGGGTCTCTAAAGAATCCAAAAAAGTACTCACAAGAGGAAAGTTAAGTCTAGAGGAAACCAGCTTTCAACATCAGGTATGAGCAGAAAATGCCAGTGTCAGGTGACACTGGTGACAATCAAATAATATTGTTCCTGTCCTCTTCCCTTCTCCCTCCTCCTTCCCACGTATTCAGTGTGGTAATCAGGGTGTTGGGACCATGGACATTTGGGGTGATCACTACTTCATCACAATGCTGTGAGGGATGCAGAAACCGGGCAGCATACTAATATAATATTTGGTCTACAAAACAGGAAATGCTAGATCCAGTGGCCAGAAGCCCTGCTTCAGTCCCCACAATGGAGAGCCACATCTGTTACGCAATTAAAACCACATGATTGAAGAGAGCTCTTGCCCTCTTGAAAAAGAAATCTACACCTGTGTCACAAATCTATTTTGGTTGTCATTTAAAACATGGGGAAAAAAAAAGAGCAATTTCACAAATTTCAGTGTATGTTTAACTCCTCTCCCCAAACACTCCTGGGGCCTCAGAAAGCTTCTGCAGTACAAAGCTTGAAATTGCTTCTTTATTTCACTCCGCCTTTGACAAGGGATAGCTGAAGTCTGAGTCTGAGCTCTAACAGAGGTTGCCTTTGCCCAGCCAGAGTGGCTCAGTTGGTTGAGCGTCATCCTGTGCACTGAAAGGTTGCCGGTCTGATCTCCTGTCAGGGCACATGCCTGGGTGGTGGGTTTGCTCCCTGGTAGGGGCAAGTATGGAAGGCAACTGATTGATGTTTCTCTCTCTCTCTCTCTCTCTCTTTCCCTCCCTTCCTCTAAGTCTGGGCATGTCCTTGGATGAGGATTAAACAAAAAAGAAGTTGCCTTACCCCCTTCTCCTTGTCACAATGTCCAGTGATGCCTATTTAATGGCTCAAAAATGAGGTCCCAGGTGTGTGTCAGGGTTCTGAGAACCTTATCTGGCGGCATAACTTTCACTCAGAATTAATGCACGGCGAGTGAGGGGGATGAGTAAACTCATTAGGGGAGCTAACGGATGTCCTCACTGTCACCGAACAGCGTTCATTGTGTGTGTGCTTAGAATAATGTCTTTTCTACAAGCCAAATGGGAAAAATGCTCTAATGGGTTTCCCTGAATCTGCGTTGCCACTGTTGTAAATTACCTTGCTTAATGGACTTTGGGATTCTGTTATCTATTTGAAAACGCCTAAGCTCCTGGAGAACCAAATCAAGGGCCTTGGTCCCCAGGAAGCTAAAAAGATTTACAACTCCATGACCATCATCACTGATGTCTGTTGTGTTTTGCAAACAACTTCCCTGTGGAATAAATGCTTATGATGAGGTCATGGGCCCTTTTTTCATGTCACCCTGAAATAATGACGACCAGGGCCCATAAATCCCCTCTGGAAACCAGTGTGCTGGGAAGGTACTGGGCAATGATTCTACCCCCGCCCCCGCCCCACTGCCTCTGAGAACCGCGCCAGGGCCCTCAGCAACCTTCCTGTCATTTACCAAGAACAACTACCATAGAATAGTCATAATCACCACCACAGCCATAGCTCACATCTGTAGGGCACTTCACAGCAGACAGAGGCCTTGTCTCATCTGATGAGATGTGGAAACTGAGGCCAGAGAGGTCCGCCAGTAGCGAGGGCCAGAAACAGAGGGGAACCCTGACTCGCTTCTGCAGTCTTTGCTCTCTAACCGCTGGGTTGGTTAACTTTATGTGTCCATTTGACTGGGCCCCGGGTGCCTGCATAGTTGGGTTACCCATTACTCTGGGTGTTTCTGGATAAGATTAACATTTGAATCGGTGGACGGAGGAAAGCAGGTTGCCTTCCTAATGGGCCTCCTCCAATCTGCTGGGGGACTGACTAGAACAAAGGACCGGCAGAAATCCCCAGCCTGACGACCTTTGAACTGGGACATCAGGTGTACGATTATGGATGATGAACGTGCCAGCCTCTATAATCACTCAAGCCAATTCCTTATAACCTCTCTCTGGAGAACTCTAACACAGCCCCCTTTTCCTCATGTAGTTACATGACACGCCCTGATTGCTGGTCCCTGAGCTGCAGCACAGGCCTGAGCTGGGGGATACAAAAAGGCTAAAATTGGTTGTGAGAGTAGTTCTTTTATAAATTAATTTATTTTTAATTGTGATAAAATGCGCATAACATAAAATTTACCATCTTGACCATTTAAAAGAAAATATTTTTATTGATTTTTAGAGAGAGAAGAAAGGAGAGGAAGAGAGAGAAACATGGATGTGAGAGTAGAACGTGGATCGGCTGCCTCCTGCACTCCCCCTTCAGGGAACAAGCCCACAACACAGGCATGTGCTCCAACCAGCAACCTGCCGGTGCCCCAACCAACTGAGTCACACCAGCCACAGTCCATCTTGACCATTAAAATATATATATATATATCAATTTCAGAAAGGAAGAGAGAGAGAAAAAGAGAGAGATAGAAACATCAAGATGAGAGAGAATCATTGATTGGCTGTCTCCTGCACACCCCACACTGGGGACTGAGCCCGCAACCCAGGCATATGCCCTGACTAGGAATTGAACCATAACCTCCTGGTTCATAGGTCAATGCTCAACCACTGAACTACGCCAGCCGGGCCTATCCTGACCATTTTTAAGTGTGCAATTTAGTAGTGTTAAGTACAGGGGTGGGCAAATGTAGGTTTATAATTGTGAGTATGTGAGACAGTTTATTCTTGCTTTATTATTTATTAATTATTGTTTTATTTATTATTTTCATTAACCTACTTTCCTCCCACCTCTGTATATTCACATTATTGTATAAAGTTTTGATTTTTAACTGAACTAGATAGGACTTTTTAATACCTATCTAGTTCATAGGTATTAAAAAGATGAGCTCATCTTTACAGCGAGAAGTGACCTCAAAAACTTTGGAATTGGCCCGAGGTGGCTGAAGGAGCACCATGCCCACTCCCCAACTCCTCTTGAGCTTCTGATCCATGTCCCAGAAGCAGCATTTTATGAATAGCCATGTTGACAAAACCTTAAACATAGCCCCCCTGGGAGCTTAATTACCACCTGGCAGAGCTGTAAGGACCATCTTGGGATGACTGATTGCTGGAGCTGGTGGGCACGGGGTCTCACGTGCAGCCAGCAGCCTGGTTCTGGTTCCCCCAGGCCTGCATGCCCCGAGCCTGACAACCAGGACTGGCCTGGAGGAGGGGGTGGGAACCCCAGAGAGCAACAGCCTTTGGCTACACATAGAGAACCCCAACTCCCTCTTGTGGCCCCACCCAGTCCCCCATCTCTCTTGTGACCAGAGGCACACCTCTGGGTCCTCTATCTTGACTAGCTTTTCTCGGAGACTGTGGCTGAGGCAGTTTGGGGAAGAGCCAGCTCCCAGGGTCAGCCTGGGACTCTGCTTGGAGGATTTCACCTGAGCAGCTCAGCCCCAGGAACTCAACTACATCCAGGTCTGGGGTGTCTGGCTCTGGCCTGCTCTCAGCGCCCCAACCCCAACCTTGCTTCCCGCACTGTGGCCACAGGGACCTCACAACACCAAGCCCAGACTCCACATAGTGCCCCTCTCTCTTCCCAGAGTGCCCTCCTCTTCCACTTAGCCACTGGCCCCTCCTACATACCCTTCAGGTCCCAACCTAAATTGTATAGATGAGTTTTCTCTGACCGCTGCACCCCTGCCCTGGCCAAGGGCAGGGCCCTGGTGCATACTCGAGAGGTACTGTGTTTTTCCTGGGTACCGCGATTCCTACATTTACTAAGCACTCATTGGTGAGGCTGTGGCTGAATGCCTGCCACCTTTGTAAGACTACCTACAAGGCAGCTGGGGAAGGGCATGGCCGTCCTGGGGAGGGGTGAGCCCTCTGGGGAGGGGTGCTCTGCACTGAGGCTGTCCAGGCATCAGGAGGAGAGGTGTGTCAGGAGACAGAGACAGGACCGGGAATGGAGCCTGTTCTGGTAAGTCCAGGCTTTGCTGACCACACTGGCTGCATGGTGATATGGTAATTTAGCCCCCATGATGGAGATCTGGAAGACTGGTCCCCCTGGGCAAGCCAACCTAGCGAAAAGCCATGACCCTGCACCTCCAGGGGCAAGGAAGAGGATTAGGCAGCAGGGACAGCTGATCCACCCAGGGCCACAGTCTCTACATTTTGCAGGGCTCACATATCTGGCAGCAGGATGATGGGGGCGGGGGAGGCAGAGGAGAGAAGAGGACAGGAAGCGGGAGGAGAAGGAAGAGCGGGCGGAAGAGCATGTGGTGGTGGGGCAGAGATCCATCTGGCCTCCTGGTCACTGGACAGGTCTGGGTCTGGCACACACCAGGCCCCAAGAATCCCCCTAGAGACACAGGGCGTGGCCTGATGCCAGGGGCAGGGAGCCTTTTGGCCCGAGCCTCACATTCACAATCACCTCTTCACATTTAGCCTTTAGGAATTATTCCAAGTGAGGTTTTAATGTTAAAAGCAGTAATTTGTTAAATGTAAGCATTTGAAACAGGCCGCAGGTTTATTGCTCTATCTTGGCATGTCTCTGGTTTGTAATCTATCAGAGGCTTAGAAAAGTGGAAGTGGTCCAGACCTCTTGGCCATGGGCAGCCTGGCTGTGAGGGCCATTCTCGGGGACGGAGCCCCAGGCTGCAGGAGCCCCAGGCCAGTCCTGAGCTGCACACATTTGCTGGTGTCTCACCCCGCTCGCTCTGTACAGCTCCGCCCCGGCCACCAGGCTCCCTTGCTGAGAGAACCTAAGGATTTTTTATCACCTCTTATTCATCTCGTTGCTGAGGGAGGGTTCCCACCTTAGGGTGATGGGGATGGCTGAGCACACACCATCTGACACTGGACAGATGAGAGTGGCAGCAATTTATTAGTCACCTACATTCGGCCTGGGGAAGGAGGGCAGGACACGCCATGCGGGGCCTCTCGGGGTTTCAAGTGGGAACAGAGTGAGCAAGGAGGGCAGTGGGAGCAGGCTGTGTAGTATCAAGAGGGTGAGGTGGCCCCGGATCCTGTGGGAGGAAGCGATTGGCTTATTTGAATAATTCCATGAACTGGCAGAGCTGAAACCCGCTACTCAGGCACAAGCAGGAACTGCGCGGGGGGGTCCCTGAAGTTAGGAGGGTTGCTGCCTAGGGGACCTGACTGTGGGAGCAGAGTGGGGAGGGGGACTCATGCTTAAGCCTTTCGGGCCCTCCCGGCTTCACCAGGTGTCAGGCAGCACATAATATTGGGCCCTGGTTTAGGCCTCGTACCGCACAGAGGTAATGAACTTTGAGCTGCTGCCTCAAGTGCAGACTGAGCAACAGCACCAGGTCCTGGGAGCTCAGTGAGAGATGGGGA